CGCACCCGGGAGCTAAGTGATAGTTATTGGGTTGCTTAAACTATGAGCCTCAGTTCTCTCAATGTCACTGCCATTGAGTCGAAGCTGGCTCACAGGGCACCGTAGATTTGCCCGTTTCTGAGACTGGAACTCTGCACAGAAGTAGAAAGCCCCATCTTCCTCCCAAGGAGTGGCTGGTGGTTTTGAACTGTTGACCTTGCAGCTAAGCAGCCCAGTGTGTAATCACGATGTCACTAGCCTCCAATGTGGATAATATCTCTTAATGTGATTATTCTGATACCAGCTAATCAACAAATCATCTAGGACAGTGCCTTGCAGGGACGCTTAAAAAATGTTGCCCCTTGCCACCATTAATAAAAGACCAAATGGGTTTTTAAGGAAGCTTGATATTTTGAGTGGGGGCGTCGTTCTGTTTACACTCATATGTGGGCAATTATTTAGGGTGTGCAACAGTGATCTGCAGGCTGTTTGATAGTTTTAAACTTTTATGTGCAGCCTCCCCATAGATTTAATCTGCCGTCACTTCACAAGGCGTTTGCTGTCACCGTGTATCAAGAATTTGGTGGCTGCAAGAGAGATGTGCAGACCTATGATTATTTTGCATGTTTTGATTTTTTTTTCCCATGACCTTCCCAAGACTGTGAAAGGTTGCACATTCTCTTTGGGTGTAAACTCTTCTCCACCCTCCTAAACACCCATTCCCCACCCTTCTAAACACCACTCGAGTATGAAGTAGATACCCACGTGCCTTTTCCCTATGGTTACCTTATCGTGTCCACCTCAGTGTGATGGGCATTTGTAGACTCCCGGAAGATTCTGGTGAACAGCGCAGTGCGATGCCCGGATGTTTGCCCAGACAGCGCCTTCAACACTTCTGAGCATGAAAACATCTCTTCGTGTCTGTGGGTCCTAGAAGGATTGCTTCTGTGTGCAAAGGCATGAGGCCAGTCCGTTTGGGTCAGTTGCCCTGCTGAGATGCTGCCTGGCCTGCCCCAGATCAATGGAATCAGAACCTGCATTTTAACAAGGTCCCCGGCGATTCTTGTGTCTACAGAGCTGCTACACCGAAACGCTGAACCAACGGTACAGATCAGGGACCTGGTGGAAGTGGCCATCCCCACTCAGTAGACCTGTGCTGAGAGGTGCTCTGAGGATGTAGTGGTTACCCATTGGGCTGCTCATGGCAAGGTCAGCAGTTCGAAACCACCAGACCCTTCAAGGTAGAAAGACAGGGCTTTCTACTCCTGTAAAGATTTACAGTCTCTGAATCTCACAGGGGCCTGTCAGGCTGCTTTGTGTCCTCCTGAACTCAGTGGTAGTGAGTTTGGTTTTGTGCCTATGGTGGAAATGCAGATTCTCCATTAGCTCTTTGAACCTTACTTCACCTTGCCATGTAGGAACCCAGGTGGCACCATGGTTATGCGTCGGGCTGCTAACTGAAAGGACAGCAGTTCATAAGCAGTTCATTGAGAGTTACAGTCCGGGAAACCCACAGGGGCAATTCTACTCTGTCCTCTGGGGTCACTGTGAGTGGAAACAGCTTGACGACAGTGAGTTTGGTTTGGTTTGGGGTTGAGCCTTGCCCCTAGCCTTTGGAACAGAGTTTCACTAGCTATCCATTTGGTTATTTTTGAATGGTTTTATGGAGGTAGAGTTTATATAGCAAGGATCCATCCATTTGACGTGTGTGACCGCCTGAGCTTTAGTGCACTGATAGAACTGTGCACCCATTACCACATCACAGCGTTACAATATTTACATGACCCCAGACGGGTCCATTGTGCCCTAGGATTGCTTAATGTTCGCTTTCTTTCCCCCAAAAGATGCCCATCCTGAAGGACGAGGCATCTCATAGCTCTCTGAAGGGGGCCAGCCACATGGCTACTTGAACCACCTGACGGACCCAAAGTGGTGACTTTTGCCCCCTTTTTGGAAAGGTGTCGTGTGTGCTTCATCAGAAGCTCTCACAACCTTGGAGGTTTATTTGGTCATTTTGAAGGTGAACTCTGAGTTTCCTCAGAACGTTCTGATCGAAATCAGAACAAGCCCCCCATTGTCCTGGAGTTGCTTCAGACTCAGGATCCCTCTAGAGCAGCAGTTCTCCACTGTGGGCCGCGACCCCTTTGGGGGTGGAAGGACCCTTTCACAAGGGTCGCCCAATTCATAGCAGTAGCAAAATGACAGTGCTGCAGTAGCAATGAAAATAATGTTATGGTTGGGGGGTCATCACCACAGGAGAAACTGTATTCAAGGGTCGCGGCATGAGGAAGGTTGAGAACCACTGCTCTATTGGGTTTCTGGGATGCAGCAGACAGCCTCATCTTCCTCCCACTGAGCAGCTGGGATTTGAACTGTTGACCTCGACATTAGCAGACCAACCCTTATCCCACAGAGCCACCAGGGAATGGGTTGCTAAATAAAATGGGTTGCTAAAAAAAAAAAAAAAAAATGTGGAGCTCATATTCCAAATCCTAGTGTCCCTACGAAACCCTGTGTAGGCAGCCATGGAGTAAAAGGGAGGAGCAATGGCATTGAATCATTTCATTTACATGGGAACATGTTTGCGTGTTCCCTGAGCCCCCAAATAACCTACCGAATCACACACAAACCTGTTCACGTACACAGAGGTCTGGTGGCTTGATCCTGAAATGCTATGTGTATTTCCTGAGGAAGGTGCTGGGGTGGGGGTGGGGGGGCATTCTGGCTTTTCCCGGGAATAGCCGGTGGCGTGACAGTGCTGAGCTGTCCTCGAGTGTCCAAGATTGTGACTACAGGAATGGAAAGCCTCGTGTTTCTCCCTCAGAGCAGTGGGTGGCTTTGAACTGTTAACCTTGCACTTAGCAGTCCAATGGAACCCACTACACCACCAGGGCTCCTTGGAGACCCGTATAGAACCATCCAAAGCTCACTATCGTTGCTTCGATTCCAACTCATGGTGACTCGATAGGACGGAGTACAACTGCCCTTTGGTTTTCTGAGAGTTTTAAAATGTTCAGATCCTGGAGCTTGGAGTTTTGCAGCCCATTATGCTACCCCGGGAGGGACACGGATGTGGCCGCCTGCTAAGTTCAAACATGACATTAGGTGCTGGGATTCAACTGGAATGAGCTGGCCCCCGGGGTCTGACATGCCCTGGCTTGAAAGCCATTGTGCCTAAGAATCCCGGGTGTGCTTGTTTAAGGTGCTGATTCCCAGGCTCACCCCCAGATTCTGATTGAGGGGTCCGCGTCCAGGCCCGGGGATCTGTGTGGAAACATGTGCCTGGTCTGAGTGATTCTGGGGCAGGGGCTCCACTGACCACGGAGAGAAACCTGGCTCGTGGCTCCAGGGAAGGCCCTCCAGGGAGCCCTGGAGCCATCGGAAGGGACACTCATCCCCACGCCCATCCAGTTGGTCCCAAATCCCAGGCACCTCCAGGACAGGGTGGACCTGCCCCCCTTGCAGGTTTCTGAGACTGTTGGTAGGAGTAGAAAGTCATCTCTTTCTTGCGAGGACCAGTCGGTGGTTTGGAACTGCTGAGCCTGCGGTTAGCAGCCCAGTGCAGAGCCGTCTCTGCCACCAGGGCCCCTTCCCTGAAGGAAAGTGCACTGGAAATGTACTTGACACCCTGTAATTATTACACTGTACAATCTAATAGCTTCCTTTTTAGTTTAGAAGCACAGCTGTGTTGCCAAACACCCTGTATTTCTTCAACAGTGCTTGGGGGTTGCACCCAAACCACACATACACACACAAAAATGTTTTTAAATCATTTTGTTAGGGGCTCATATAACTCATCACAATCCATACATACATCAGTTGTGTAAACCATATTTGTACATTCAGTGCCCTCATCATTCTCAGAACATTTGCTCTCCACTTAATCAGCTCCTCATTTTGCCCCTCCCTTGTGAACTCTTGATAATTTATAAATTATTTTGTCACACACAATTTTTATTAACCTTCATGGGCAACTAGCATCCCATGGAAAGCGTCCCTAAGTGATCTCCGTCTTGTTAAAGAATGACAAGTGCTTGCCCTCATGTTACCAGAGCACCTTGTCATCCTCCCAGTGGGAGGCGTCTGGCTCCTTCGCCCTGTTCACACACGGGGAGAAGCCAGTGATGGCGCCTTCTGGAACTGGTTCGTCGAGAATTTCTGCAGCCGTGGTTCAGCTGACACATGAGGTGTGTGCAGAGTCCCTGCAGCGTAGCACAGTAGAGGAAGGGCGGCTCAACGGGAAAAAGCCATTCTCACTGAATGGCGCGTAGAGACGGTTAAGGAGGTGTATGCTTTTCTGAGTATAGTCTCAATGACAATCCTCCCCCCACCCCAATTTTTTATCAAAGCACAATACAAAAACGCACATCAAAAACTATCAACCAAAGAAGCTGAATAAGCAGTCTTTGAAACCACCCAGAAACCAAATCCACGGCCACTTAATCAACTCGGACTAGAACTGGCCGCAGAGGGTTTCCGAGGTTGGAAGTCACTTCTGGGAGCAGATGGCCAAGTGCTTTAACCACCGGGCCACCACACCCTTCCTTTTTAGCCACATTCCCCTCAAAAGATTACCGCCAAGCAATATGCAAGTTCTGGAGCATTGAGCCTAAGGAGAGTGAAGCTGAGCCTGGTGCACGGTACACTTTTCTACCGGGAGGAGTCCATGACCTTTGTCCCAGCAGCGGGAGCTGGAGCGGAGCAGTTTGGTGGCCTGGCCGGCCCTTTTCCCTTTTCTGCAGTCTTCTTGCAAACCTCTGCCCCTGGGACAGCGCTGTCAGCTGCACTAAGCAGACACTTCTGAGTGGGTGGGAGGACATGGTACTTTCCCCACCTGCGTTTAAACACAGAGCCTCCCCCCTCCTTTTTGGGAAACATGGGCTGGCCCGGGTGGTGGCGGCGGCGGGTGCAGTTCACCAGTGAGGCGGAGAGGGAGGGCTGGGAGCGGCCGCTAGCTCCCTGGTCTCACAGCGGGTCTGGGAAGATGCACGCTGCGCCCTGGGCTCCGGCCAGAAGGCCAGTGTTGTAAGGAGGCGGGTGGCTGCCTGTGCTGCCAGGCAGAGGAGAAGGGCTGGCATCCCCAAAGCCTCTCGGTGGGCCGAGTTTGGGACCTGGAGGAGCGCCGAGCTCAGCACCGCTCAGGACCAGACCTGGAAGGAAAGCCGCTCTGCCTTCAGGTACAGGGAGCGTTTGTTTTTGTTTTTTTCACAAGGGCTCGTGGAAACCTGGGCCACGCTCTGAGAAGCTCAGGACCCTCCAGATGCCGGCAGCTGGTTACAGACCCCAAACTGGGCCCCACATAGTGCTTAAACTTCCTGCTTGTGCTGACTGGTTTTTTTCTCTGCAACCAGAGCCAGAGTAAAGTGTGCAGGCTCCCCTGCTGGATGTTGGCATGACTGACCTCCTAAGTCACAGGGGAGGGGTGTGTGTGTGTTGTGTGTGTGTGTGTGTGTGTGTGTGTGTGTGTGTGTGTGTGTACACACTACCCCCCACCCCCGGGCTCCTGCCTATCTAAGGGAATGGTTTCCAGAATTTTTAAATTTGTGGTGACCCATCTGTGATGTGTATGGCTCTGTGGGGTTTACATTTGTGACAAATGGATCTTTAGAACCATGTTTGGGGGATTTGGTGGTGGAAGTGGCCACGGAGAATTGAAGAGAAGTACCTGTCACTGTCGAGGATCCTGATAGCGCAGTGAGTTAACCCATGAGTGGCGAATCCCAGGGTACGTGGTTCAAATCCTCCAACTGCCCCTCTGGAAAAAGATGAGGCTTTTTACTCTTGGAAAGATTAAATGTCTTGGAAACCCACGGGGGCAGTTCTGCTCTGCCCTATAGGGTCATCATGTTGGAATGGCAATGTGTTTGGGGTTTTCTGGGGGTCCTGTGACAGTAGGGGTCAGAGTGGACTCGCTGGCAGTGAGTGTGGGTTTAGGGGTTGAACTGTCGAGGTACACAGGAGCCCTGGCGGCACAGCGGTTAAGTGCTCAGCTGCCATCCTGAAGGATGGTGGTGGGTAATGGACTTGGCTTCTAGAAGGATCGCAG